GTGTGTGTGTGTGTGTGTGTGTGTGTGTGTGTGTGTGTGTGTGTGTGAGCTTAATCTGCATGTTTCATCTTCAGTTGTCATCTGAACTTTGTCTTCATGACACCACAGACTGTAAAGCGGTAAAAGCGCTAGCATTAGGGAAATTAGATAATGGCCTAGTATCCACTTCAGGCAGAATTTGATATGCTGACAAAACAATTACCTGACCAATGGCAAGAGGGCACTCCTAAAAGAGCACAAATCAATACACCGCTGCTGGGAAATATAGGAGAATAAATATTTAACAAGCAGCGGTTAAGTTAGAGTTGGCAGAGCTTGTTCAAATAGCTTTTAACTGAAAAAGGACATAAATAACCCTTGTCTGACTCTTCAGGACGTCCAGAATCTGTGTTTGATCTCACTGATGTCCAGATTAAATCTCTATTAGTTTAATGGCCCCATTTGATTTTTGGTCATGATCCAGCAATGCACTTTTGATAAAAGACAGATCATATGAATCCTTTATATAATACACAAAACTCATTTATGTGATTTTTTGCTCCAAATCCTAATTTGGCTTCCAAGAAGACCTCTCAAAAAGTCAGAGGAGGAGGGTTGATGGGAGTATAATGTCCAGGATATGAACATGCTGTGTCAGTTAGAGTCATTTCAAGTCTGGAGTGGTTTCTGGGCTGCAGTGTGAAAAACACTATATCTGTATAGCAGATATAGTGCTCTTTCCAGGGACACCAATGTTTACATCTATTTCTGAACCTTTCACAACGGCAACAAAGCATCGTTTGGGGTTCGGTGGAAATACCCAATGTAGTAAATGCAGTCTATAGTACAGATTTTAGGATCACCTAATTGCATTTTCTATCAAAACACAAAATCTATGATTCTCAGGGTACCAACTAACAAATCCTTACCACAGTCATTTGTGCACTCAAACACAAATAAACACTCACATCCACTCCTCTGATCCGCCTTTCTGGCATGTTCGGTTGAAGAATAGTTTTCATTATTCCGTGCTGTTCTGATTAAAGAACAAAATGAAAGGAACCTTTTGTGCACAAGTACTTTTTTTAGCTTTCCAATTTGATCATTTCCATCTACCTTGGGCTGCTCTGCTTCCGGCAGTGTCGGGGAAAAAACATTTGTATCCTGACATTTTTGGGCACGAGTCAGGCTATAAATAGGATTTTTCCATTTTGTGCAAGTCTTCAGAGATTGACTGGAGTCCTCCGGGCTTTCCTTGACGCTCACTGCCCTGGTCAGTGGTGAATCATGATGCTAGGTTCTATGCCTGTTCCCTGGCTGCATGGACTATTGCATGCCATGTTGTGCTGCCGTCCCTTGGACTAGCTGTCGAGTTTCAATGTCACTCAATGTCCTGTTGAAGATGGAGATGCTGCTGTTGTAAGGTCTCGCGGCACCGAATGTTTGGTGGTTTAAAGCCTTGTCGGCGTTAGTGATGCTAATGCAGGGTAAAGGGCATTTAAAGCCTGCAATAAGGGGAGCAATGTCAAGACTGTTTTTCCTTGATGCAGTATAGAATGTACTGTATACAAGGCACAGTTGTATGTAAAAGTCTTGACTGTTAAGGAGAAGGGGAACATAATATTTTCTTGTCTTAGGGTTTTTGTTGTTCTTTTTTCTAAATAAATAAATATATATATATATATATATATATATATATTTAAAAGTGAAGTAAAAAAAGAGACAAAAACAAGATAGAGCAGCAGGTTAGATTACAAAAACCTTTGTGAAATTGAGCCTGACTGTTTTCAATTGCACCACAAGATGATGAAATATGGTCTTTTTCAGAGCGGACAGAAATCAATGTTGATGTTCTCTGATATCCATCATTTGGACTGTATCCGAGTCTATAAGAGGCCATAATATTTGAATCAAATGCACACACATGTTTGAACACTTCAACGTAAACAACCAGCTCCAGGGAGAATGCTTATGATAGTGTTGCCAGTGAAAATCTCATAATACTTTCTATGATTATTTTTCCACGGGTTACGAAAGGTCAGCAAACCTCTTCACACCCCGATGAGTAAAGTGGAGAGTGCA